TTAATCCAGTTTAATAAATGGGAGTCCTAGTTTAATTGGCATTATGAAAATTACATGTGGGCTATTTTCTATAGAAAATTACAAGTGGAATTGATACCCCTGTGATATGAATCAGTGCTATCCAGACTTCAGATTAATACTATGTACTGAATATCACATGGTCTGTTGACTGTAACAGTGCCATGCATCACAGCTGTCATCAAATGCAAATGCGATCTCAAGATTTGCCAAAACATGGGAGTCAAGAACTATCTGTTCATCATAAGCTTACCCTCCTGCAAATGGAGATTGCTGTATGCAAGATTTTATTGAACTGTTAAAGTTCTTACTGCTGCCAAATGTGGGGCTAGGGCTTTCTCCATCAGCTCTTACAGGACAGCCTAGATGAAGGAAAGATGATTTGGTCCCAAACTGGAGACTTCTCTTTGAGCCCCACCACAGTACTGATTATTTTTACTAGAAGTCCTCACCCACAACTGCCATGGGTTGTCCTGGTTTTGCCGCTTTCTCTAGTTTGCCTGATATTTTAGGAGTTTGTACGACTGTTGACATCTTTCTCTTTGGCTTGGCTTGCTGTGCAGAGCTCTCTTGCCTGGCTGCTGGGGAGCTCCTGGAGTGATACAAGGTCATTAATGAGATGACATAATTACACCTTCCCCTGCAACCTCTTCTTTTCCTGCCTTATGCCAAGTGCAGTTTGCTGTAGCACAGGATCTGGGTGAGCCTGTACAACCCAAGAGCAGTTAGAATTGCTTTTCACATCCTCTCTAGTCTGTGCTGCACAGATACCTATCTGGTTGTGGGAATTACTTTGAGAAAGGTGTAGCAGCTGTGAAGAAACAAACTCCTGTTATGACTTTCCTGCACTGTGCAGAGCACAGCGGCTCAGCAGAAGCCCAGAAATAAATTGCGTTGGACTGATCCTTTCTTGCAGCCCCTTGCAACCCTTGCCTCTTGCTTGCCTGTGCAAGGTAGCTGGCTAGAGCGGGGGTGGCAGGCGGGGGGTGCTGGCAGCAGGGTCCTGGGGGTCTCCCTGGGACATGGCAGCACACACGTGTGCGGTGCTGAGCTGGGGAGTTCTCCAGAACGTGGGGACATTGGCAGGCTCTGACCCTAGGGCTCAAAGAGGGACTCGAGTCTGTGGCTGTACACTGAGCTCTTCTTTTTCTGTAAGAAACGTTTGTTCTATCTTGTTCCCAACACATAAAAGAAAAAATGATTGTGTTCATCTTCCCTCCTGAAGAACCTTCAGTGATGTCTCTTAATTCTTCCTTGTTTTTATGTCCATTTTCTTTCCTGTTCTATGGGTGAAATATTGACTTTAACAAAGTCACTAGGAATTTGGCCACTAAATTTGAAGGGAACAGCCACAGCAGAATCTTTGTATCTAGATTTTGTGTTTTTCCTCACTGTGCCAAAACAGCAAACTGCAGTGGGGAGTAATGAATGATAAGAATTTCTTTCGTACAGAAAAGAAAAAAACATTGCTTATTCTTTTGGTTATTCTCTGAGACACACGCTCTGAAGCACTGCACATGAGTCAATCAAATACCCTCCCTACCCAAATATAAACATCTATCTCTTTTTTTTTTTTTTTTGTTTTTGCTTTGCAAGTGGAAGTAGAGTTGGCAATATCTGAATTCCTGTAAGTCATGGCAAGAATTTGATATCTTGGTGCCTGGAGCAGTGCTCAGGGTTGCATGTTGATGCTCCAGGTTTGTGGTGCAATGAAAGGGGTAAGCAATGGACTTTTTTTTTTTTTTTTGCAAGATGCTTCTCAATAGCTATGGCAGCCTTAGGCATTTTCTTGCTTAATATTACTGTCTCTTGTTTTGAAAGCACCTTTATGGTGATCGCTTTTATAATAAGTAGTTCTTCTGTGTCATATCTTTGAGTATGATGTGTTTAAAAGTGAGTTATCTAAGAGCAGAAGAGAGCTAAATGCAAGGAAGTGGGTGTCCCTACTGGAGGTGTAAAGCTCCTCAGGCAGGACTCTCTGGTCTGGGGTCAGTGGAGCAGCCAGGGAGGGAACCACAGCGAGTGGGAGCTACAAGCTGCCAGATTTACCAGCCCTCTGTGGGCTATTGCTGTTGCATGAGCTTACAGCCAGTGTCTAACAAGGCTATAGAGGATTTTAGAATGCCAAGCCAGCATTTGTATGTAGATGGCTAAATGTCTGGGGTTCTCCCATCTGCCCTGTAATGCTAGAAGAACAACCAAACCCTCTTATTTTCCTTATTGAATTTCCTAGAGTCGCTGATGCCTGACTCCTGTTTCTCCTGATAGTGCCACTGTGGAAACACGCATCCAAAGAGAAAATGTCACAGTTCAGAGATCACTGCCTGTACTGCTGACATCTCAAAGAGAAATAAAAATCTTCAAAATCCAGCCCTGCTGCTCAGCAGGAACAGCTGGGGACTCCCCAAAAAACCCAACCCAAAACAAAGCTGAATATTCTTGGAAATTCCCCTCCTGCACACCATTTCCAAATCTCATAGGCAGTGCTTTTTGTTGAGCCAAAGAGGCTCAATATGATAACATGGTTGCCCCAATCTAGGGATGGGGGGGGACTTTGTGTCAAAACCACCTTGGAGTGTATGTGCCCCATTTTCAGGTGTGATCCTCCTACAGTAGGTAGACAAAGAGGCAAATAAAGGTCCCAAATCTGTGGTGTCCAACCATATTTCAGTAATGTGATTATTTGGGTGGGGTTTTGCAG